TATCAATCATTGCACCGTTTCGTTGCTATGTCATAAGCAACAAATCAATAATATAGAGATAATAGATTGATCAGCAGCATGCAAAAATAATAATATATTTTTCTGACAATAGACGATAATGTCCAACTAATAACTTAATTGTATGACAAACGGAACAATTTCAGTTTTTCCATCGTCAACTTCCCTTGTTTATGCAGTTAAATTCCACTATAACCTGCATATGGTGTTTTGCTCTTCCAACTAATTTGATATACAAGAGCATGCTCTGAATACGATCAGTTTTTAACAGTGGCAAGATACAGGTGTTAAAAAATTAGTTAATGTTACAAGGATCTCAGTGGCCTGCGTGACCAAGTGGTTAGAGCGTTTACCCTTGTGTCGCGGAGTACGTAGTTGAGTCTTACGTCGGGGACGTGGATAACGGTCCTCTGGATGAGCATGTATAACTCAAGGTATCGCTGGCACGAAAAAGATCCCTCACTGTCCAAATGCTGTGAGTGCCAAGAACAGGTCTAAATTAGCAGCTTTCCGACGACATGAATGGAAAATTCTCGTAAGGACGTTAAACAAACAAACAGACAAATTAAACAAGGATTTCTATAACCCTGTTTAAAGCCAGATTTTTGTAAGTTCTATGGTCGCTATATTGCCTTTGTTTGTAAAACCATCTATCTTTGAGTTGTATTTTGTTTGATATATTTCATATTATTTGTTAGGTTATTGCTTTTATACTAAATTTAACTATAAACTACTCCGTATACCTAATCAAGACAGATCTTACGGCAGGTGAGACCGGCCGACATGGGATGCTTACTGCTTCTTGGCACCCGAGTTCAAAGCTGGTGTTTCCTGGGGTCTGTGTTTTATGCCCTGATCACGATTGTTTTGCTTACTTAATGCATGAGATTGATAACTGTTCTTTATCTTCACATGTCACATGTCATTATGAACTATTTTGAGAGTAATGTTACCGTATTAATATTTTGTATTACTCCATATTTTGTATATACTGTACAATCTGACAAATGACAACTTAATACTGACATTCTAATAGTATTTGATTTTTATTAGAATATTGATAGTATATTATCATTATCATTGTTTTGATAATAGGTGTTCCTTACCATTTCTATAAATGAAAGAGAAGGCTATCTCCATTGGTTTGTTAGAATGTCTAAGGATTTTTCCGTTTTTTTTTCTGATAATGACAAGGAGCACACGGCAGGCGTGATCGGTCGACAAGGGTTGCTTACTTCTCCATGGCACATGATACCATCTGATCTTCCTCTTGATATAATAACATGAATTGACATCTACAGTAAACTACTCAATTTGTAATTAATTTAAGCATCCTTAGTGTCTCAATAGGAGAAGATAAAATGATTTTACACTAACTTTCTTTGAAAGTTCCTGAAAACAGCAATTGTTTCTGTTCATCAACACTTCATTATGTTTGAATATACATGTATACTCTTAAGCTTGGGGAAAATGACAAGTATCTTATGTTGGACATTGAACAGACAAGCTGAATATTTACACTTTTATGCAGTAAAATCTTCTCAATATAAAAAAAGTCTGCCTTATTGTGTAGAGGGTTCTTTAGCTAGTATATGAGGATTACCGATGTTTTGATGTGATCTCCACCAATTTTACTTTGATAAAATATGACTCTTATTATGTTAATTATTAGAGGATGTGATAGTATGTAGTTTCTTTATAATTGAAACATAATCAAGCATAGTGTTCGTCAAAAAGTATAATAAATTCAGTAAAAAAAATATTTAAGTGCGGAAAATTTTCCTCAGAAATACATGTAAAACAGTTTTTATGATTTAATTAAAAACAAAGAAACCTTGGATTTACAACCAATTATATGTTTATCATTTTGTACCTTCTTGCCTTCTAGATTCTTCCTCTGATCAATGTAAAAGTGTGACTGCTTCCTAAATATGGATTATAATTAATATTTACATTTGCTGGGTTTTTTCTACTACGCCAACTTTAAAATTGATTTGAATGCCACTTTCGTGTAAAGTCATCCGTGAGATATATATACGGAGAAAAATGTGTTATTTTTACGTCACAATGACGCGAGGGAAATGTAAAAAAAATATGTAATAATAAAGGGCAGCAAACAATTCAAATTTTGAGTTATTTTGTTGGTTTTAAAGCTTTTAAATGTAAATATAAGGAATATTTTTCAGATTGTGAATTTTATTGGCGTGTAAATCACACAGAATTGCACGTAAACATAATTCATAAAGCTGGCGTGCTTCATGCAATATACCGTCCTGTCAAGTCTTTGTGAGATACACATTTATAACACTCACACAAAAAATATTTGCACATTTGTCCTTGACAAAGATGAGTATAATACAGACAGGGGACATGATGTACTCACAAACAATCAAAACCAAATGTATTCATTTAGCAGTACAGATTGACTCATGTGTATGTTATGATAACTCGGTGACATTAATCATAATACATGTATTACATCTATTTAAAAGTAACGTTATGGGTCAGAAGAAAGCATTGAAAATAATTTATATTTTCCTTTTTTTTTTAAAACAACAAACACGTTATGCACTATTTTACTCAATTCCTTTACTGGGGTTCATCGCCCCCTCTGTTCATTCGTATAAAATTAGGCTTTCAAAAGAAATCTAGTTTATCACATATATTTAAATTCACAAAATTTTAGCATACCTCGCTGGGCTCAATTTGACATGATTGGCATTTTAACTTTGACGTCCTTTGAAGGAATAATAATTTATCCAATAAGAGTTATCAGGGGGTTAATAATCCTAGCCACTTCTAATAAAACACACATTTTATTTTTGACAAAAGAACTTAGTGATTTTCATCTTTTCGTCTGATGTAATATATATAAGACCTTCTGTCAGAGAAAGTACTCTCTATTTGAATGAAAGAATTAAGAAACCTGTTCGTATACATAGCTTCAGTGATTTTTGTTGTTGTTGAGAACATTTATGTTTTTCATTGTAAAAAAAAGCAAAATAGTAATGACATGAGTCGCAAAGAAACAGGGAATCAATCAGCCGGGGAAAAAAAATCAGTGAATATTAATTGCCATACCTCAGTATATTAAGGCATTGTTGATTACACCATGGTTTAATGCACAAACAAAAATGACAAAAAAGAGTCACTAGGTCATTCACACAGCAATATCTTTCTTTGTAATATTCACCAAGATATTTTGTTAACATTTCTAAACATTTTTAGCCTAGGAAAAAAAGTGTATATTGACTGAATTCTTAAAGGTCGTTTGGCTTTGTCCTTTGACCTGAAGTTTTAATTTGGCAATTTTCGGAATAAACCTAACTTTGGTCCAGGAGGATTATTCTTTACACTCCAAGAATTTTTACAGGAAAATGATGATTTTAATTCATTTTGTTTAACTGATAGCCTTACTGCCAGTTTATATGACTATTCATAGTCTTTTCTGTCTTTTAGGAGGCAGATTCCATAGGTTGAGAGTTCAATACCCGGGTGGCGGAAACAGGTATCCTAATAAAAGTGAATATCTTTGTGTGTATATATATATATATATATATATATATATATATATATATATATATATATATATATATATATATATATATATATATATATATATATATATATATATATACTTTTTTCACCATCTCATGCTACTGTGAATGTAAATAAAAATAAATTCCACCAATCATTAGACAGTTATAAGGGACCTAGACATATCTGCATTGCCGTTTTGTTTAAAATTTCTAATTTCAATTTTTTTTTACAAAATAGAATTTAAGTTTCAGTTTAATGGATTGAACTTACATGTAAATCCTTAAAGTTCAATGATAACGTCATTCTTAAAAATATTAGGTGAAAGATGTGTGTTTGTATATATGAGCACGAGCTCTGTTATCATTAATGTTTACGATTTACCGAGTGTGATCAATTTGGTAACTCAGCACAAAACAGTGAACAAGAACTGACAAGCTGGTGTGTTGGCTTTTGGACATTCCTACTTTGAATTTTCTGGATTATAGTTTTTACATTTTCATTGATACACACACACACAAAAAAATCCACGTTTTAATATATATATATGTATTTGGAATTATTTATGCTTCGTGAAAGTCAAGGATATTTGTCAATCAAACTTCTGAAAATCGTTGTTTTCAATTTTTTTAAATTAAAGTAGGTTATGAATGGGCTTTTATAATACATGTTTATCGGTCTGAAATGCTCTAGAAACATGTTAATTATGATATTATTACGAAAATATTAACATCAAATACGTATCCAAGCCCCTTTAAAAACATACATTTAAAAATACATTTAAACTCTGTTTATTTCAGTAATATCAATCTAATGCATTCAGAGAAACTCAAATTATACATGTACATAAGATCACAAAATAGTTTACCTTCGTTTCAATTGCATAACTCTTGATAGTTAAAAAACAGGTACATGTATTTGATCAATGCTAATGTATGCTATTTTCAGTTGTAAATTTCAAAATTGCAAGTCACTTGCCTTGAATATTCCCTGCAAGTTTCTTTCATGGAACATTGCTTTCAGATTTTCTTATTATTAAATGCTATAGTAGAAATAAATAGTTTCGAAATAAATTTTGAAACTTTCTAAAGACTATGATAATTATATGTCATTTACGTGTTGAAGTCTTTGTTACTTCACAATTGATTGATTCTCAATAGATGATTAGACATAATTAAAGATTCACGATGGCTTACTTTTCTGGAATTAGTTACTTCACTTGGAAACTGTTTTTCTTCTGTAATAATCAAAACAACAATATGGAATGTACTATGAAGTAAGTCATGTATTAGGACTCAAGTCATTGTGTTAAAGCTGCTGCAAAGAAACTGAGAATCCATAAATCTTATTTACATGTTGTGGCAAATAATGTACAAAATCTTATTTACATGTAAAGGCAAGTAATATATAAAATCATGAAGTGCAAATTTTAAACATATACAAGTTTGAAAAATCTAGCTAAAACCGAGCTAGCAAAGTTTCAAAAAGTAAGTAAGTACACCTTTAAAACAAAAATTTTGTTATTGAAGTTAATTATTAAAGTTAATTAGATCTAATGATGACCCAAAATCCAGGTGCTTTTGTCTATACAAATAGCAATAAGACTATACCCTATTTTACTCACTTACTTAACTATACGTACAAACAATTTCTAAAACGCTATCGCCAAATAAGTAAATGAAACAAGAATATCAACAGTCTCGTTTAAAGTCATCATTTCGAAAGTTCTAAGGTCGATACAATGACCTTGTCTGCAAATACAATATATCATTAAGTCACATGCTGACTGACGTTTTTATACTAATTGCTAAGCCATTATTTACACCCTGAACTGTTATCGGATTTCCCCCTCATTACAAGGAGCACACGGCGGTGTGACCTCTCACTCCTCCATGGCAACTGATTCCACCTCTGATGTTTTAGAAGCTCGTGTTTGTACTGATCCTGATTTGTATTCCTTGAATGGACTTTTGAACCTGAATACTGTTCTTTATCTCCGTATTTAATTTTTCTTGCTCAAAATTTCAATATATTTATATTACAAACTTTTCTATAACTATTATGGACCGAACCTTTATTACCTTAAAAGAACACGATAAAAATTTATTCTGTTCTCTTTTAATAATCATAGAATCAAAAGTGTAATACTCAGCAATGCAGGGCTTCATATATCTATATATAATATCTTGTGTATTCAGCAAACTTGTTTTAAATATCAGTCTATTCCCTAATTTTAAAGAAAAGGGAGAAATACAGTCTAGAAAACGTCTTACCTACTCTACATTGGAAATTAAAAGGAAAAGGTATAATATTGGTTTCTTTACATACGAATACAGGCTCCTAAGAGCCAGGAGTGGGTACAGGAGGGATGACTCATAACCCTCCCCAGCAACTAATAATTTTGCCAATATATACCTTACTATAGTAAAAAAAAAGAAGCAAATTTATGAATTTTTCTTTGAGATACAAAAGTCATTTTCTCAGCTTTTCTCTTCTTTTTTTTTTATAAAAACGAGAGAAAAAAGGGATTTTTTTGTAAAACATAAGAATATAATAATCTTTGATCACTGCACGCTTAATATGTCTTATGTATTGCATCCCATCCACTCTTGTTGTTGATTTTGCTAATCATTAAAGGATTTGATATAATAACTTTTCGATCAATTTTTTATATTCATTAACAACCGTAAAACTCATACATTATGCAATATGGTTAATTCAAGAAACAGGTTCTATTATTATTAATGTTCTTATACATGTACAGAGGGACCATGTTTTGTGTAAGTAACATCAGCTTTCTTCTTAATATCGTCTTCTTTTCCAACATCCACTCTAATTTTAGTATAGTAGGTGTAAATTTGAACAGATATTAGTTTGTAAGGAACATTTCTCAGTCCATCAGTCTTTATCCTGGTTTTCCATGTATTCAGTACTTGCATTCTACAAAATAAAAGAAAAAGGAAACATCTCAATCACATTGCTCTCTCTTTCTCTCTCTCTCTCACATTAATTTTAAATGAGATTCTTTCTAGAAGTCCACCTGTTTTATAAAAGAAAAAGAAAACATTTTCACAAAAATAATCTATGTACGTGTATTCGTACATTTTTTCTATCAGAAAGCGCTCTAATGAATATTGTTTTTTTTATAATTTCTTCTTTTATGTAGAATAAAATTTTTGAAAAATTTGCATCAATTATTCCTTTCATATATCCAACTGCAGCTACCCGAAGGAATTTAGAGATGGATTTTCTTTGAATAACAAATTAAGACCTTACAGCCCTGCTTGTAAATCACTAAATATTTTTTTATTTATTTAAATCTCTAACTTTATTATGGCAACGTTTAAAAACCCAAACAAAGAAGTCATATATTGAAAAAAGCTGATTCTACAGTAAAAACGAAAGCTTTCATTATAGTCAGATGAAGTGAACCCTTTGTCTTCCAAATTAAGACTCTGGAGTATGATTTGTGCAGATGTGATAATGCGCAACAAATTTAACAAGGGGCCCATGGCCAACATCGCTCACCTGGACACATTGGCTAGGAAAAGCAGAAAATAGTTTAAAATATGAAAATTTTATGGGGGACAAAACTTGAATTTACACAACCTCAGAATGCTTCCATATCAATATAATTAACCATAGCGTTGCTGTTCTTGAGCAGAAGAATTTAAAGGATTTTTCCCTATGCATTCCTATGTAACACTCTGATCACTCATTGATACCCCACCCTAACCACCCAACAAATTTGAATCTACACTACCTCAGGATGCTTCCATAATAATATGACTAATCATGGTTTTGTTGTTCATAAGCAGAAGATGTTTTCAAGATGATTCCAATATATTCTTATGTAAAACTTTGACCCTCTGTTGTGCTCTTCCTCATGCACCCTTGGGGGTCATAATTTGAACAAACTTGATTCTAAAATACCCAAGGTTGCTTATGTATAAATATGACTAATAAAGGCTAAGTTGTTCTTGTTCTTGAGAAGATTTTTAAAGATATTTACTCGATATTCCTATGTAAAACGTTTATAAACTGTTGTGGCCCCGCCATACCCAAGGAGGCCACGATTTGAACAAATTTAAATCTACACTACCTAAGGATACTTCTATATTGATATGACTAATGATAGATTAGCTGTACTTGAGAAGATTTTTAAGACATTTTCTATATATTCCTATGTAAAATGTTGGCCTCCTCTTGTGGCCCCGCCCTTCCACCGTGTGTTATGATATGAACAAACTTGAATCTAGAGTATGCAATGAAGCTTTTACATAAGTTTCATCTTCTCTTGCCCAGTGGTTCTTGAGAAGATTTATAAAAGATGCTGCCAAATTTTCACGAATTCTTAATTATATCCATTAAGAAGAGGGCGTGGCACTTAATGTGAAGAATTTAAATCCTCTTCAGCCAAGGATGATTTGTTGCACTTTTGATTGACATTGGCTTAGTGGTTCTTGATAAATGTGAAAAGTTAACAGACGACACACGGCAGACGGACGCTGGACACTGAATAGAAAAGCTCACTTGAGCTTTCGGCTCAGATGAGCTAAAAAGCATTTATTTTGTGGATCTTGAGAAAAAATTTGAATGAAATTCCAATTGCGCCCCGTTATTAGCAGACCTATTTTTGTATTCATACGAAGTAGACTGGTATTGCCTGTCTCTATCGTACGAAAAGATATGTATATCAGAAAGGCAAGCCGGTCTACATATGAAGCAGAATTTGTTCAAAATCTTTTACGTGAAAAGAAGAAAACACTTGCTTTGGCCTTCAACTCGATATTTAGATATATAGACGACGTATTGTCAATTAACTATGGTTATTTCCATTCTTATGTCGACACGATATATCCCGGTGAGCTTGAGATAAAAGATACCACAGGGTCTGACACATCTGTTTCATATTTTGATATTTTATTATAAGAAGACGTTAATGGTAATCTAACAACCAAGCTTTATAATAAAAGTGATGACTTTAACTTTTCAATCGTCAACTTCCCTTACTTATTCAGCAATATACCCTTATCACCTGCATAAGGAGTTTATATCTCTCAGTTGATTCAATACGCCAGAGCATGCTTTACGTATGAGCAATTTCTAAAACGAGGCAAGTTATTGACAAACAAGTTGATGAAACAAGAATATCAGCTGTCTCGTTTAAAGTCATCATTTCGTAGGTTCTATGGTCGATACAATGACATTGTCAGCAAATACAATCTTTCTTAAGTCAAATGCTGACTGCCTTTTTTCATACTAATTGTTAGGCCATTATTTATACACTGAATTTTATGGATTTTCCCGTTATTTCCCGATCATGACAAGGAGCACACGGCGGGTGTGACCGGTCGGCAGGGGATGCTCACTCCTTCATGGGACCTGATCCCACCTCTGATGTTTTAGAGGTCCGTGTTTGCTTTGGTCCTATTTTGTAATGTTTAATGGACATTTAAGCTCAAATACTGTTCGTTATCTCCACATATTTCATTTTAAAAATAACATCTAGAGGAAAAATTCGTAATTTTTCTACCTGGAAAAAGTGAATCAATTTAATCAGAGCATGCTTTGATTTTTTTTCAGGAATGGCAAGTAGATGACATGTGTATGCCAGAAAAAGTTACAGAGTCACCAGGTACAAGTTATAAAGGCTCAGGTGTGAAAAATCTGACAAAGTATAAGGACACTTATCATACATTTATGAAATGTTTAAGCATAGTAAAACCATATATATCAAATAATTAAAATTTTACTAACCTTTTAGGCCATCGTTCCCGCTTCTTGTGACGAATCATCGTGTATCTAGCGACAAATGCTGGAGGTCGTATTACACGGAATTTTAAATGAGTCATTCTGAAAAAAACAAACACGGAATAGGAAAACTTTGATAATTATCATTAGTGGTGGATTGTTGACAAAAAGGTGCATTTAAAAAGAAATAGACTATACGAAGGTCGTCCTGGAAAATCGTGGACAAGTTGTCTGTAGTGAAAAATAATCATTGCTTCGTTCTCAAATTTTCACTACTCTTTAGTACATTTCTCGTTAATATACACAGCAAATTTCAAATAGATATATGCTCAAATAAACAAAATATGAGATTTTATGTTATGTATGGTGTCGCCTTACGACGCAAGGATGATAACGTCAATGTATCTAAAGCAGAGTCACGTTTCCTCTTTGCTAAATTAAATTGATGCACATACTTGAGTTTCCATTTATTCCTCCATAAACAGTCGAAGAACCTATGGAACCTTCTGAAGATTTATTAGTAAGTGATGGACAGTACTCTCACCATCATTCGCCAAGGTAAGCAATCTTATATTGAGGTCTGTAGTGACAGCGTCTTTCGATATTGCTAGTAGCAGTTTGTCCATATGTTTTGTTCTACCAGGGGACTCAATCAAAAAGCTTCCGCTTAGAAAACTCCTATTTCACTTATATATTAAAGATCTACTGATATTTTTATATTTTTCTTCTGTAGTCATTTAAAGACTCTTAAGGCGTCATTACTACATCTAAATCAAACTGAACTGCCCTCCGTTGCGCCGTATCGTCAACAAGCGTCGACATTTTCGTGTGTTGTGTATACCTCTTTCCCATTTCAAATTCTCGGGAAACTGCCAAAAATTAAGCAAACGCCTTGAAATTTTCCGAAAGACGATATAATAGATAGTGAATTAAAAATTGGATAATTTTTACCACAACCTTATCTATTTAATACTTTTATTTCGAAATAATACTCGTGTATTCTCTAATGAAACCCCGATTTTTTTATCGTGCACCGTAAGATCGTACCTTGTGCACATTCGAGCACAATAAAATCTTTATTTTTGTCAAAGACATTGAGGTGTACTTAAATATGATAAATAAACATTTGCTGAAAATTTCAGCTTAGTGCGCTGATTATTTTTCGATAAAAACGCTTTGTCCACGATTTTACCGAACAACCCTCGTACATATTTTCCTGTTTATGAAATCAAAGCTATAATTATTAATTGCATATTATCGAAGCATAAATTTGAAAAATGAATTTATCTAAAATACCTTTGACTTATTTCAAAGCCGAATTTTGTCTCTTTCAACATGAATTATCACATTTATCTAGGATGCATTTTGTTAGATATAAAAAGGAGCCTTTTACCTGAAATATATATCGTCGTCTTCTCCTCCCCAGCCCCAAAACATGTTGGAATATCCGTTAACTTTACGAAAAGTCTGTGGTCGAAATCCTAACACGCCACCTACTAGGTAGCTATACATCAACCTGTATCACAAATCGTGATTTATTGTTGGGAATAATCACAGAGGTATAAAATATTTTTAAATTAAAAAGTGAAGAGAGATTTTTAGGAAAAAAATCTTACTTGTAGCCATCTTCATCAATAGCCACCGACAGATGGCGTGGTTGTTCCCCACATTCATAAAGAATCCTATCATTTTCTGGAATAAGGTCGACATCATGGAAGAAAACACAGTTAAAATCAAATATTTTCCCTGCCTCAAGAAAACCTGCATTCATAACCCTTCCTTTATTAAATGCTGTATTTCCAATCTACAAAATAATCTTGCTTTAATTGATCTTTTTTTCATTTTTTAATTCAAATTCTTTTAAATATTAGTTTTTACTTCTGTACAAATAGATTGAGTAAAAATGCTTTCTAGAATAAGGGAGAGAAAATCACTTGAACCTGTTCAATTACAAAAATTCTAAATTCTGTTTGTTGAACCATCAGAATAGGGATAAGATTCTTAAGAAGAATGCAAAGATGTTCCTCTCTATCTCTAAAAGGTATGATGATAGCAACGCGACGTGTAGGTCTACATTCTGGCGGTATCCAATGTCCTCCAACTATTCCCATTTCTCTCGCAGAAAAAAGAGAAAAAGAGGTGCATTTCTGACCATCAGTATGATGAGGTGGTGCATCCTCCGTTGTAATACTGGTAGTGTTCGGTGAGTTTGTTGTCTTTGGACATTTGACTCGCTTACACTTTGTTTTGTTGCAATACATAATATTACAGAATTCTGTAATGTTATGTTCCACATGAGAACTCTCTGTGGGACATTCCGCCATGACACAAGGTCTTATATCGACTGTTCTGTTGCCCTCTGGAAATAAATGTGAGTGGTTTAAAAAAAAAAAAAATTTATGTTGCAAAGCCAAATGATGTTGTTATATTTTAACTTTACAATTATAATCATTACAGCAACATTCCTCTGAGAGTGATTTCCTTTCACAAAAAGGCATTTTTATTTTGTTTGTTTGTTTTTAGTTATAGGTTTTCGCGGGAACTCATTGTATAGAAGAACAAAATTATCAAAGAAGGGAGGGAGTGGGGTTTATGCTAAAATAACAGCCCACGCGCGTACGAGAGAGAGAGAGAGAGATAGAGAGAGAGAGAGAGAGAGAGAGAGAGAGAGAGAGAGAGAGAGATTCATACTTATCTCTGATGTGAACGAAGAATAAGAACACAATTCCCATTTATCATTAGCTATTTGAGATACTCCTATTTTTTGTCCTGTATTTTCCAATCGTTTGGTTTGTTCTGTGGTATTTAATTTCCATGCAGAAGCATTTGAATAAGAATGATTTTTCATCCTCTGTGTTCCCACTCTTAAAAGTATATTTATTCCACAGATAAACAGCAGAACATATATCACAAGACGAAAGACATCTTTCTTTAGTTTCATAATTTCAGGGAATAAAATTTTTTTTTTTCACGAAAACGATTTCAGATTTTTGAAAAAATCAAACATGTGAAGAAATCAAACAGTAAACAATGTCAATCTCAAATCCCTCAATTACATTTCTGTCTGGGTCATACCATCAAACTTCGGAAATGTAATCATACATCTCTTTTCAATTGCACTGATCTAGAACACTATAATCATCAAAACACTTTCAAATGTTACACAAGAAGGAGCAGCTAAAGGACTTATTTTTACGCTTTGTGGACCTTCATCGTGAAATAATTTTTGTCAATTAATGCTTAGCTATTTGACTTATTTGGCAATTCTGTTCTATACCAGAATCTTTAACAAGTTTTCATTATATCTTTCTATTTAAATTTGGTCCTATCCTAGCTTTATGTTCATGCTTTAACAAAACTGATTTTACATTACATGTAATGCTTGCTAAGTAGTGTGATATAATGTAAATTATCAAGAAATAAGAAGCCACGACATAGGAATGTTTGTTATTTAGATTTACTAATATGGATAAAATCTACCCTGCTTATGAATAACTGTTTAATTGTAACCCCGTCCTGCTCAGGGAGAAGGGAGTGGGGGCAAAATTTAGATAAGTTTAAAATTAAATGTCGCAAAGATAAATTGTAGACTTGGTTTTCTTAAGAAGGATCTTTATCATTTTTTTAAAATCTATATTCATCTATATAAATATAAATAAAACATTCGAGAATTCACTATACACGATGATGGAAGCATATTAATATAAGTTATTCTCGCCGTAGTGTTTTTGAGGAGATAATGAAGATTTTTGTCCCACTTATTCCTATGCTCATCAAAGTTTGCGCGATAGACCTCCTCTCCCTACCTCAAAGGCCATGATTTAAACAAATGGACTGCACAACGTGGAGATGCTTATATGTTCATATTTTTGGTCATGTTGCTATTGAGAAGAATTTATTTTTAAATTTTCTTCCCTCTATATTCCTATGTCAAATTTGGCCCAACATTGAGGACCCAGGCTACGCGGTGTGTTAGAGCTTGCCTATACAGTATAACTTCCGAGTATGCTAAAATGTATATGAAACCGTGAACTATTTTTTAATATTTATATATAAGATTTATATCAAGTCCTAGGAATGAAAGGAACACGCAAAACATAGTATAAATTAAATCTCATTATTTTTGGATTATATAAATAATAAACTATTCGACAAGGGGGGCGTGTTAAATAATAACTCACGACATCAAAAATGTTGATCAAATATTTGCCGAGTGAAAATGAAACTTATCTAGAATTCATGTCAATAAGTATGTGCAATTGGTATAAAAAGCATATACCGTGAATGTCATGTATGATTCATAAGGAATTAGAGTTTAAGAATGAGGAGCACCTTTTCCAAAGAACGTACGGCCAAGACTAAAAACTTAAGTAACTTGTTATATATTGCAAAGTAAATAATTCTGTTTTAAAATTGTATGTATTAATAAATCTTCCCAGATTCTCTTTAAAAAGATGAAAAAGATTTCCAAATTCAATTAAGAAAACAGAGTTATTTGCAGAATAACATTTTGGTCTTAGTCGTAAGGTCTTTGGTAAAACGGGCCAATGTTTGTATATTTTCAGGTAAATAGTTCATTTGATCTATATTTTTTCTATACTTTCCACCAGGCAGATTTTGTAACGATAAAAAGGCTGAAACTTGAGAAATCAATCTTGTTTTCATTATGTTAAAACTGCCTCATCCCGTTAACGAGTTATGTTTCCTTCTACATAGATAATGTATACAGATGAATTGAAAAAGTAGCCTCTGTAATTTATTTGTAAATATTTCTCATACAATTTTGTAAATTGATTAAAATTAATTTATAAAGAAAACGGACACTAATTGTCAATCAAAATTTTAATTATGTTTATTTTCTTCCTTAAATTTCAAATCAAAACTTTCATTCTATTCTTATCAACGATATATCTTACGCTTTTTCGGTCTCATCCGAAGGACCGGTCTCAACGTTTCGTAGTGGGATACGAACCCGCTACATCAATGTGGATTCTTGAAACAAATTTTGCTTTCGATATAAGCAATAAAATTATAAAAAGATACATATAGATGATAGCAGTCATACAACTTTGACATATATGTATGTTATGACTCACAGCTAT